GGGACGCGACTCAAACGCCACCTAGCTGCCGCCGCCGATACTAACGGAAAAAACTGCCGGTGGGGTCGCTGGTGGCGGACGACAAACAGGTCACGTTTCAGGTGGGGTTCCAGGCCCGTCACGTGACCTGTCCCTCGGCGTTTCCCGTGGCTGGCTGGCTGGCTGGATGGCGCACCGCGAAGGGCAGGTGGACCGACACCTCCTCCCGCTGCAAGCCGCGCGCTTCAGCCGAGGCCGCGGGCGGGGCTGCTACGCCAACGGGCGAGACAGCCCCGCCGGCGGGCACGCAGCGGTTCGCTGCGTCAGCCCGGTGATTGGCGACAGCAGCGAGCCGCACGTGGCGCACACGTACATCTGGCGGCCAGGAGGTGCTAGCGTCAGAAGGCGGTTGTTGGGCCACACCGCAGGGGCATTCCGTACGCGACAAACCACCACACTTAATCACCATGGCGTCACACGACCAACCGCCTCCACCCAACAACAGCACAGCACGGAAGCGTGGCGGAGCCCCTCAGGAACCGCTCCTCAGGTCAGAACGCAGCCTACGTACCGGTGTCGGCCAACTACGACGCCACGTTGCAGAGACCGTCGTACCGCGAGTTGCACTTGGTGCCCTGCGGGCACGCAGAGCACTTCCGTCCCATCCGGTACGTTGGCTTGCTGACGACATTACCACCAGGCCCGTAATTGCAGTACAGCAGCACCTGGAGAACAGCGGCGTTGTCAGCTGTCCCCGTTTCGACCCGTGCAGACGATGTTTGTCTAGACAATTCGCATAGTCCGGATCATGGAGGCGGTTGGGCCATTCTGCGATGACGAGAGAGACATATTGCGCTGGCTGCTGTTGGTACATGACGAATAATACTTACGTAATCATGGCATTATTCCTGCTGATATTTCAAAAATTCGCCAATCTATGCAGGAAACGTTACTCACCGCCTCCGAACATGTGAGTAAAGGTGTAATGCTATCGTATGATCTCAGGTCAACAGCGAAAGAGGCCAAATCGAATATTTCCAGTTACAGGCGTCTTTCCAGGAGCATGTGCGGTTCGGCAATTGACACTTAAACATCACATAGAACGTTTGGAACGTTCATAGTCACATAGAACGTCATATAGAACGCTAGAACGTTTTCTCTTGATGCACAACACCGTTCAATCGCCGTCCCCTGCCGTCCCCACTGCGTGCTCACCTTCGTGCCCAGGCCGCCCTGGTAAGTGACTACGCCACAGCCGATATAGCGGGTGATGGACCAGACCGCCTGCGCGAAGTGGCCGTACGTGCCGGTGTGGCAGCATCCCTGACTGAAATCACGGCACACGTACAAGCGCAATCGCCTCTGCTTGGAGGCGACTAGACGCAGCGCTCGCACTGCTGGGAGGCGGCCAGGCGCGCCGCGCCGACCCCAGCGCGGGTCCGCCAGGTCTCCGGACGCGGCTGCACAGGCGCGCACACACCCGAAACCGATAACCCAGACAACAGACACCCGTGACTGATGACAGCCAGACGTCACGGCAGACACCTGCGCAGACACCTGCGCAGACACCTGCGGGGCTGGCGGCATACGCGCCCGGCTTCGCGACTGGCAGACACGGCGGCTGATGTCTAGCAACCTGTCGGTATGTTTACCTACCATGAAAACATCATCGATGCTTATCAGACATCATGTGCGGGACAGAATCACGTCAAACTAACCTGGTACACCACGCCGCGATACTTAGATACGCTTCAACAGCCTAGGCTGAATCTCGGAGGACAATGATATCGGCAGCAATTTTGTGTACGATTTCACATATATGTGCCCATTTGTTATCTTGCAGTTATTTCTTATTCCGCGACTCTGGGGTGGATGGTGCTCTTCCATATACCTCTTTATCTTGATTTAAGTGCACTTATCAAACAATGTGAGGCATCGGAAATGACGTCAATGGTCCCAACAAGGACGCCTGCTTACTAGAAAGTGTTGACAAAGTCCACAGATGTGTGGACGGACTCGGCAAACCAGGTCTGGGCCAAATCCAGTACTTTCTGGTACAAGTTTTCAACGCCCCGCTGGGAGGTGCTCAATGCCGCGATGTTCTGGCCGACGACGAAGAAACATGCTGTAAATGAGACATACAGTTAAAGGGAATGCGTACATGTGTATTTCGGCCGCGCTTTGGTCATTTCAGTAGCTTGAGTGAGCCCTTTAACCCCTAGGATTGTGCAGCAAACGATCAAACGGGCTTTTGTATTCATCAGCAGAAAAACGACGTAAAGTGCTCCGAGACGTCAAGGACCAATATCCAACCAATTAAACACATCATAGCACAAACATAAAAACTTAATTATCAATCTAAAACATAGTCACCATATGCAGTGGTGTTATTAAACCGTTTTGGAAAGCTTTGGGAGCCACTCCCCATCACGTTACAGGTCGGCTACGATAGCTGTCGGCCTTACGGCTAGCTCGGCACTCGCTGCAGCCATGGTTTCCAGTGCACTGCTCCGCCTGTGCTTGGGCGGTGGCGGCCAGCTCCTCGTCCCATACCTGGAGAAGAAAAACAGGGTGAAATACAAGCAAAGTCTGGGTAAGCGTCCGTTGTCCGTAGCGGTTAAACACTCGTAATCATTCATCTCATTAGTTATTAGCAAGCGTAAAATACCTTTAAGGCACTGCGAGTCAAGAGCAGTGTGCTTACCAAAAGGCAAAGGCAATGTCTAAAAAAATCAAATCGCACCTTGGTTGGACCCAAAGCAAAGTTAACAACGTAAAAACCTATTCACAATTACACGGTTGCTTACGTACTTCCCTTCCAAAAAAGATGAAAACGCGATGTATTTCACTGAAACAAGGGCACTGCATCTGACAGTAAGGAAATGCCCGAGACAGTTTCAGCATTTACAATTATAGTGGTGGACCAGACAGTGGCTTTGTCCACCAATAAAATAGAGGTCAGCCCCTCCACCATCACTGGCTAACGCATCACACGTCACCATGACTGAAGCTCCTTTGATTTTCTGGCGTCGCTAACATACGACAATCCTGCGTTTAAGGGAGAATGTGGGCGGTGAGACCTTCCACACACTATCTCCAGAGCACTGTGGACATATCACTCACTGTTTCCAGAACACTGGACCTCCCACTCACCAGTTGCAGCATGTCAGCGGCTTGCGGCAGCTTGCCTCACTTCCCTTGCCTCACTTCCCAGCGCGCATTGCAGCACCAGCAGACCGACGGCAAAGGCAGAGCAGAGGCCATGGCGAGGCAGAGATCGCACTGCGGGCGATGACGGTCGGAGACCGAATGAGTCGCTGCTGAACGGCGGGTACCTTTTTGATGTGAGCACAAGTGGGGCGGCAGGCGCCTGCGGGCGATGACGGTCGGAGACCGAGTGTGTCGCTGCTGGACGGTGGGTGCCTTTTTGATGTGAGCACCAGTGGGGCGGGACGCGCCTGAGGGCGATGAGCGCCGCCGGCTGTCCCAGGATCCGGCTCTCCACTCCGCTCCCCAGAGGGGTGCGACGGCTGGCAGCGTGTTTGGATCAGGTCTGGCCCGTGGAGAAGTGGAGCAGGCGAAAACAGGCGATTTGCGCCGGCTTTCTCAAAACATGGAGGCGGGAAAGAACGGTGGTGCTGCCTGCTTTGCTTGCTCTGTGCACTGGGCTTGAGCAGTGGGTAACAGCTAGTATTATACAGAACAATGTGCCTATTCAAGCATATTTTTCCTCTTCACACCCCTAAAGAGCACCTGAGAAGCAGGGCTGTAGGTTGAGATGCACAAAGCATGTATCGGTAATAGGTAAGCTTTGGCTGTTCGATAGGTGAGTATTCGAACGAAGAGCAAAACGCATGACAAGACACTACACAATACATCCATACGACAGCACAACGACAAACCTACGACTGCAAAGCTCAACATATCAAGACTCTCGAATGCGTCGTGCTGACCAGCAGGACTTAGAACAGCTTCACAACTAAAACATGTCTTGCTGCACAGAACAGGGGGGGGGGGGGGGGAGGAAGTCAGGTGGCTGCTTTTGACAGCTCTGCGTACATGGCGGCACACAAACTATCAACTGACTGGTTCAGATACTGAGATCCACGCTCACACAATGCTGGAACCGTTATTGGTCCCATGTCAAATGACATTGTCAGGTATAAGATATCTAATCAAACCCCAATAAGACAAATTCCACACTGACCTCCCTGCGGACGGAGTGGCGCTTGGTTTGGCCAGTGCTCGCCGGGGTCGGGGCAGACTGCGGGCACACCGGAGGGCTTTAGGGTCAGACTGCGGGTGCACAGAAGGTCGTTAGGGTCAGACTGCGGGCACATCGGGGGGGGGGGGGCGTTTTAACCAGACTGCGGACATACGGGGGAATTAGGGTCAGACTGCGGTCACACGGAAGGTCTTTAGGGTCAGACTGCGGGCACATGGGAGAGCATTAGTGTCAGACTGTGGACACACGGAGCGTGCAGGCTCAAGCGAACCCTGTCGGACCTCGCCGAGCAAGGACATAGTTCGCGCCGTCACAAATGGACAATGCGACAAGTACGCGATCCTTCCAGATGTTGAAGGGTGGTAAAGACACCAATCCATTTCAATGCCCAAAGATGGGTACGCTGGTGCCTGTACTTCTTGAAGCAACTGACCGTGACAGCTAGGCGATGCAAACGTACCATGAGTACAGAAAACAGAGCGGGAGTCGGGCCTAAACAATTCTCGGTGCGGTCGCACTTTATTGTTATTATCTTTAACAGACTTCCAGCCCAGTTGCCAAATGGAAACGCGCGCGACACAACAATATATGAAGACCAGTATTCTAGCACTACCACAGTACTCTGCTCGGTACCTCGTGATGTCATCCGTCATGGATGGAGATCTCTTCGCAGGCCAAGCTGGGATCAGTTCTCGGGCTTCATTGCAACAGGTATTAAGCTGTTCACACTAGCTGTTCACCACACAGCTAGCTTGTGGTTTGAAAATATCAACACGCAGGACAATCCCCGGGCTTAAACAGCTTACCGGTAATCTGCTGATGAAGCCGCAGAACAACGTCAGCCACCTGGCGACTTACCGGTAATCTGCTGGAGCCGCAGAAGAACGTCAGCCACCTGGCGGTTTGTTTCGAAGCGAAGGTCATCCGGCGGCTCCGCAGCGGAAACGCCTTGAGGAACATCACTTTGACGGCAGGATGAAGACTTCAGACTCCTTGAAACAGAGAGACTCCTCAGTTACAGACAGACTCCTCAGACCCAGTTACTAACAGACTCCTCGGTTAAAGCTGTCATTGGCCGACGCAGCTGTATTGACCCCAGGCGCGGGCCACTGAGGTGCAGTGGTTTCTTGACCGCGATCGCCCCACAGGTCATGACCTGTACCCGGGCGGAGCAGCGCTCTTCATTGACCGGCCGGGATCAAGGTCAGGCTGTGGGCGCGCGAATGGCGCAGGCGCACGTGACCGGTCAGACCACCGGCTGTCCCGGGACTGGGTCAGCCCGGCGAGGTGGCTGACCGCGTCGCGTGACCGAAGCCTGCTAGGGGAGGCTGGGTCAGTCCGGCGAGGTGGCTGACCGTGTCACGTGGCCGGAGCCTTCCGGGGGAGGCTGGGTCAGTCCGGCAAGGTGGCTGACCGTGTCACGTGACCGGAGCCTGCCGGGGGAGGCTGGGTCAGTCCGGCGAGGTGGCTGACCGTGTCACGTGACCGGAGCCTGCCGGGGGAGGCTGGGTCAGTCCCGCGGGGCCGTCTTTTTGCCGCGTCACGTGACCGGAGTTGACGATCACTTCACTTGGCCCGCGGCACCACTCGTGGAGTTTGGAGGGAGTTTACTACTCGTGGAGTTCAATGGGCACGCAACAGACGGTACCCGGGGGTACCCGAGAAATAATCGCCTTCATTCCCCCTATCAAATCTGTAATATGCATTTATATGCGTCCGAATAAATTAAGGCACCAAAACAGTTGTGTGTGACTCTTGAAAATGAGTAGATCGAGAGCTACCGATGTTCAGTTATGTCATGCAACAACAATCGCGTCTTCGGGTGCGGTTGAGGGAAAATGATATTGACGCCTGTTCATAACATTGTGCTCGTCTAAGCGCTTCGCTTTCTGACAAGAACAGCATACCAGTGTCACCAATTATACGAATCGCTTGTTGCCGCTCCACATAGGTGTCCGTCCTGCCAACAGGTGAATAGGTCTTACCCTACGGATGGATTAACGCAGATTTATGTACATCTTCAGGAAAGACAGATAAAATGCGGCTGCTTGGAATCAACTTGCAATCAACTGCTTGAATAAACCCCACTGGAGCCATCTACT